ACTTTTAACCAATAAATTACTTATATAACCAATTTCTGTTGGGATTTAAGGGCAATAAAATTACAGCAATGGGTAAACCCTGGCACCCCCAGTGTTTTACTTGCGACAAATGTGTCAGACCTTTGGATCCCAACAATTACTTTGAAATGAATGGTAAACCTTATTGTGAAGACGATTATCACAAACTGTTTTCACCGAAATGTGAGGGGTGTCTGACTCCCATCACTGATGTAAGACTGGCCTTTCCGGCCTATCGTATACTTAACCGCAAATCGCAATTAACAACACTAATCTATTCACATCTTACTTTGCGTGTAAGTGATTGCATCTTGATCATTTCTTCTGTTTATTAAACAATTAATATTAATAATTTATTTTTCAGTCAACAAGGTTTGACTCGTTATAAGTATATTGTTTTCATAAAATACTCTGTATTACAATATTTGTGTCAATCAATGCATTTCACATGAATTTATTATTTTATAACTTAATTCAAGAATTTTAACAAAATATGCTAAGTTTTGCTTATATTTTGATGTTTAAAAGGAATTTATATGTTTTGAAAAATTGTTTTGTTTGTGTTTGAATTTAAAATTAACTCAAATATTTTGCAATTGAGTTATAAAAGTATTTTGTTATCGCTTTAAACGCGAATGACTCCAATGTTTTTGTAAATTAAGAAATTTGAAAATTCTTGCAAATATTAAAACAAACAATTATTAAAGGGAAACCAAGTGAACGCAATGGGCAAACCCTGGCACCCCCAGTGCTTTACATGCACTCAATGTGCCAAACCATTGGGTCCTAACAACTACTTCGAGAAGAATGGTAAACCCTATTGCGAGGATGACTTCCACAAACTATTTTCACCTAAATGTGCTGGCTGTCACCTCCCTATCAAAGATGTAAGCACTCGTACAGTCGTTAGATAACACAAATGCCCTATAACATTTTAAATTAATATGTTGTATACAATTAATTTATAAAAGGGCAATTTCATCAATGCGATGGGCAAGCCCTGGCACCCCCAGTGCTTTCAGTGCACTCAATGTGGGACACCTCTGGGGCCCAACAACTTTTATGAGAAGAATGGCAAACCTTACTGTGAAAATGATTTTCACAAACTCTTTTCACCCAAATGTAACGGTTGTCACACACCTATCACTGATGTAATGATAAAAATGAATTTAATTTTCTGATCATTTAGAAATTATATTCATTCAATTGCAGGGAAACCCAGTGAATGCAATGGGAAAGCAATGGCACCCCCAGTGCTTCACTTGCGACAAGTGTGCCATCCCTCTGACCCCTAATAATTACTTCGAGAAGAATGGCAAACCTTATTGTGAAGACGATTACCATAAGTTGTTTTCTCCCAAATGCGAGGGCTGTCACCTCCCTATTAAGGATGTAGGGGCTTATTATTTTTGTATTATATTCCATTACTTGATTACAAATTGTTAATTGTGCAGGGTAACTACGTAAACGCATTGGGCAAGAACTGGCACCCCCAGTGCTTCAATTGCACCCAATGTGGCAAAACTCTGGGTCCCAACAACTTCTATGAAAAGAATGGCAAACCTTATTGTAAGGAAGACTTTCATAAACTGTTTTCACCCAAATGTGCTGGATGCCACGAACCCATCACCGATGTATGCATTTGAACATAGCAATTGTCAATTGAAATCAAAACAAACTTTTCAAATCACTTTCAGAGCAATTATATCCGTGCGATGGGTAAGGACTGGCACCCCCAGTGCTTCAAATGCAACACTTGTGAAGTGCCGTTGAGTCCCAATAACTTCTTCGAGAAGGCAGGAAAGCCATACTGTGAACGCGATTATCACAAATTATTCTCTCCTCCCTGTGCTGGTTGTGATCAACCAATTAAAGACACGGTATATTCA